AAAACTTTAAAAACCGTGATTGCGATCTTTACCGTATTTTCAAATGGTTGATTCAACTCAATTATTTTCTCTCTGCGAAGGGTTTCTCCGTCAAAAGGCTGCAATCCTTTGTGCGAGTCTCGGAACGTCTGGGTTATTCTCAACAGTCTCTACTAATGTTGTTTTGGAAGCGAACAGCTGTTGAAACTCAAACTCTGCTACAGTACTGTGAAGCATCAGAACTCAACCTGAACTCATATCCTAACCCTGATTCGTATCTAAGAAATTATGTATCTGATTGTTCTTCTGGATATACATTTTCGATCAAGTAATTTGCTGAGTTTCGTCGGGAATTTATTGTAAGTTAAACAGTTTGAATTTCATAAGAAATAATTTAAAATATCGTATGAAGGGATTTTTACTGGAACTCTGTTTTTTTCATTTCCAGTTAAATCGATGATTTACACAACTAAATAACATATTTTCATTGTCAAATAATTAACGTGGATTCATGTACAGCATTTTGTAATCCTAGTTAAATCTGAAAAGTGATACGAGTACCACATAATTCACATGCACAATATATATTGTAAAGGATAGAAAAAATTATAACTTTTTTTCAAGCACATCTAGTTACACGTAATTCACAAATGTTCCTGGAAATCATTTAGAACACAATAGGTAATACATGCTAGTGCTTTCCAATCACTATTTGGTCTGATAACGCACAATGCAAAGATTTAACATTATTTAGAAGATTTTTTATTTGGGTAGCAGAATGGTTATTGTGCTCACCTTTAAATCTGAAGGTCGCTGGTTCGATTCCATGCGAGAACTATTCCAGACCCAGATACCATTTGTCATCGGGCTATGAATTAATAATGATATCTAAAAAAAGGTTGACATTAATTAACAAGACCAGGGTTTGGACCGTTCGCTTTCAACGCGTAAAAATTACCATTGGCGTAGAATACACACCTATAGATAACGAGAGGTCTTGCAATCAAAACGAACACTCCTCACTTCGCAGGTTTGAAGCTGTGCTATAGAGGCCGTCTTTATCGTGATCGAACCCGAAGGCTCTGTATTAAATCAATCGGTCGGTAAATTATAAGGTCTCAAGTTTGTTTCGCACCTCCGCCCGCTGTTTGCCGCACTCGCTTACCTCTGTGATTCAGCCGAGTTTAAAACATGTTTACTTTGCTGTATTGTGTGCGATTGTTTCCAGAAAAGAGTTTGAGGAATAATAATTTTACATTTAAGTATTTACCTTTAAATAGGAGATGAAGAAAGTATTGTTTTCGTCAAAACTTTCGAGATTTAGTTTTGATTTGATCCGTTTTAGGTTCCCCAAAAATTGGTTTTTGAAGTTATGGTTGTGTGGATATGTACACAACTACAGACTACACCTTTGATACGTTTTGGACGAAACTTTGTGTGTTGGTAGCCTACTATTTAATATCCAGGTTATTTTAGTTATTTTTCAGAAATTTTGATTTTTTGTGATTATTATAACAATTTCCCTTAAGATTTTGATTGATTTTGTATGCTAGTCTTTTAACTTTAAACAAAATGGTACAGTAATTAAAAAAAAAAATTACGAACAAAATTTATTGCAAATTTTGTGATTTCGCCCAAGAAATATCATAGTTTCTCCGATCAAAGAAATTATGAACAAAGTCGTTTAAAATATTTTAATTTAATTGGCAAAAAACAAGGTGCTATTATTATTACGAGATGCCGTTATTTTATCATTAAAAATGCATAAGTAAAGGCTATGTGTATACATTTTTGACATACCAGTACACTACTGAATATAGTTTCGATAGTTTTTACTCTTATAAGAAATTAGGTAGGCCTATGCACTTGATATTCTTAAGAATCAGCGAATAATAATTTCACCTTTCTAATGGCAATACCAACGAGTTCTTGAAACATCGTTTACAAAATTATCACTTAAATAATCCAACTCGACGAGATGAATTTTTCAAGAGTATCTCTCTAATTTGAATTAAAATTAAAATTACATTTTCATCGAAATAACCTTCAATGCTCTTTCTTTATATTAAAAGGTATGTATAATTAGCATTTTAACACTTTTAGACGTTTTAGTGGTCTTAAACAAAAATATAATCAACAGTAGAATTTCGAGCGTCTATTAACTAAAACAGCTGCAAGAGAAATTGTAAGTCATCAGTGTAAAGTATTTTAAAGAGAATTGAGGAGATTAAACGCAGAGATTATCTCCTAAATATAAATGCTAAGCAGGTAATAATAATAAAGCTTCCGTGATTATTTTAACTTTACTGTTGTATAACGCTGTCTTTAAGATAATCATTCAAATTATTTTTTTTGTGTGTGTAATTTTTCTCATTAATTTTTATTTGTCATATTTTATTTGACCATTAACACTAATATTTTGACTCTAACTAATTTTGACACTAATACTCTTCTCATAATACTGTTTATATTTATAAATTACAGCTTGATAAATTTACCTAACAATGAGGGTACAGCGCTTTAAGGGAACGCAAAATTTACTTTAAAACAGATGAATACCGTGCTTTACCGTTTATACTACTTTCGTAGTCTGTTTGCTACTTTTGGGTTGTTTACGTTTTAAGTTTCTTCTCTTATTTGAAAAAAATCTACAAATTTACTTTCAATTGAGGAAAATCACAGCCCTATGGTGTATGGATTTGGTTTGATCTAAAATTACGTCAGATAAAACGAAAGGAATTGAAAGCTTTTCGACTTTTGGCTTTGCGATAGAACTCCTTATCAAACTTCTGCAAAAACCTCGTGTTATTATTTAATCGATATTTACTCTTTTGGGTGATATATTGTATAGTAACACTGAAATATTCCTCGGCGTATAAAATCCTAATACCAAAACATATTCAAATAAAAAACACAGACTTGAAAACAAACCCTACCACTTGATATACGCGATTATTTATCGTACAGCCAGATAGCGGAGTACCATTGTCAAATATAATTCTCTCAATTCAAACAAGAAAATTGCAATTAACAAACTTTAAAACTTAATTGCAACTAGTTTTAAAACCTTTTTGCACTTGAAACCCTCCGTGTTTTCCACCTGATAATCTGTACTTACAGTTATTGCAAAATACGTTTAGTTAATCTATATTTATATCATGGTGGTATAGTTGCATGCAAGAACAGTTAGTTGCTGATGTGGTTGATATATTCAACATAAGCATGTAATAGATGGTATGAGACTACAGGAACCTAGTGAAGCGTAACTAACGAAGTGGTCAGTCGTAGATTGGACATCATCCTGAGAGTTGAACAGATACGGCCTATAGTCCTCGCCACCATAAGTTGAGGCAGCCAAATGCCGCACTAGATACGCCGTGTGGCCTTGGGCTGCCTCAACTTAGGGTGGCGAGGACTATAGTCGCAAATATGCGTAGCTGTACTCGGTTGATAAGTTAACGTAATCTCCATGTGAATCAACTTCTTATCGTCATCGTTGTTTAAACAACCTTGAAAATGATTCAGACTAGGGCATGTTTATTGTCTATGAATAACGTAAAGAAGGAATTTTTTTATATACGATTCGTTAAATATTTAACAATGTGAAAATATAGATAATAACCTGTGTTAGCTCAACTACACGCATGGATTGATTAAATGGAAAAAACTGAAACCATGAACACGTTTTATAAATAATCTATTCTTTTTAAGTTGTCAAACTTGAATTTGCAGTCCGCCTTCGGTTAAACCAACGCATTCCGCTCTACAGACCAGTCATGCGCATTGCCTTTTTAAATTGCAGGCAACAGTGAAAGAACGGAAAAATTGTATCGCCACATCCTGCAGATCTTAAAATAGCTGCTTTAGTTCTTAAAACAGCTTTATTAGAATTAGAATAGTAAAAATCAATAATTAAATAGAGCCCACAAACTGTTCCTATTTTTAAGTACTAATCTTAATATTGACTAATATATTTTCTTCAGTTTTATGCTTTCCTTTCGTGTAGAAAATTGCCACTGAAAAATATATTAAAATAACATTTAATTACTCAAAACTTTAAATTGCAAGATATTTGACATTTTGTATGGTCATGTAAGGTTAATAGGTGTGACCTTACGACAGTTTAAAGTGGTTGGTTCGTTGTTTGTGAGGTTTTGCTCTAGACAAATTAAACATTTTATTGTTCCAAAAATAAATTTCTCTAGACGATTTGAACCCAAAGCAAGATTGGATTAAGGGGGTGAGTCCAAATCCGCTGGCGGTTTTATATAGCTGAAAAGGAAACCTAACGTTAAATTTAAACCTGACCCCTCACTGCTACGGAAATATTTCTGCCCAACCAATACGTTTTTAAACTAAATCCTTATCATACAAATCGCGCACATAATATCAATGGATTTTATCTATGTGATAATGCCACGACCATCTAGCTATAGTGTGATATATAGTGTAAGAACAGTACCAAGCTAACAAATGGAATTAAAAATGAACAAACTATATATATTTGTATTTCTGACGTGATACCAATTTCGCTATAAAGACAGGGAAATCCAATCAGCTCCCAATCAAGTAGCTAATTATATACCTAGATTGATCTGATGGATCTAATCTGAATAAATACCTGATTAAATGAGCTTACTCATTTGGTCTGTCACGTAAATTGCGGTATTGTATTATTTGCATTACTAGAATATATATGATTTATTTTGATTGTATTTTCCAACGAATGTGGTATATTTTGATCTAACGATACAGAAGACTATTCCCAAGCTACTTGAAATGTTCATGAAATAATTTATTAGCAAAAAACTGAGGTGATAACTTAATACTTGGGAAAAGTTCAAATATGTCTATCCACTTACCTATTGTAAGAAAAGGGAATACATCAGAACTCACGGTGATCATAGAATACACGAAAAAAGTTATGTACCACTTAACCAGTTGGCTCCCCCATATAAAAATTGTAATTAGGGTTGTTATAGAAGTTTTTGGACTGAAATGTATCTGTTTTTGTTTTGCAGGGAAGGCATATGACATCACCTATGTGAGATTACTGTTCCACTCGCCCAGACCGGATAGTTTTGCCATCTACAAACGAGTATCCGAGAATAGTCCTTGGATCCCCTTCCAATTTTACAGGTAAAGGAAAACTCGTCTAAAATAAAATAGAATATAATCCTTTTTTGAAGTTAATTACCTAATTCTAGGTTTAAGGCTGTCAATAATGGGTCAAATTATAGTGTGAAATTCACGGCTGATATTATAATTATGATAGGTGTTTTAAAGGTCAATATTTCTTTGGGATAACTATGGTAATGGACTTTCCTACGCTAAGCTTATGGAGGTAAGGAAAGTAATCCCGTTTTCCTGTGACTGTTAATCTACCTTTACCAAATTATCTCATGTCACAAAATTTACTTGATGTTTCATCATTGTGTAGGAAATAGTTATTTTTGTAGCTAGTGCGCAAAGTGGTACTTTGCGCCCGTGTTGCACATTACATTTTTCCTATAGAAAAATTAAAGCAACTAATTATTAAAGCAAATTAATAATTGGTAATTTTATATAAATGCGAATTTTATCATGCAGTTTCACAAATTACAAATCCAAACCTAAATTAAAGTGTTTCACAGAAATAAAAATCCAAATGACACTGTATCAAAAATTAATAGATCAAAATCTTAATGAAATTTCAGAAACATAATTAATCAATATCTGAATGTCATTTTTGGTTTTTTTATTTATATTTATATCACTCAACAACAGGTTTTAGGCTAAGTTAAGTCATAGCCCCCGCAAATACATGCACACTGTTTTTTGTGGTTAGGTTGAAATATTGGAGTGCAGGAAAGTAAAATACCTAAGAGCTGGAAAGTAAGTAAATGTAGGAATCAGCTAATTTGCGTATCATAATCAATGCAATAACACCTGATTTGTCATGATAACTGTAGGAAACATTATCTATATCTATAGCACGAATCAAGTATGTAATGAATTTGCGTAATTCATGTGTGTTTTGAAATTCTTTGAGCTCCTTCAAAATTGTAGATACAGTCTTTATACAGTTATGTACTCATGTTGCCGCAGCTAGGCTGGCGGCGATAACTTTGCTACATAAATGTGATACCATACAGTACGATTGTGATTAACTATTTAAAAAGTTCATTCCCATTGAAATGACCAATTTTACAAACATTATCGAAACTGTTATTCAGTACTGATAGTAAATATGAATTTGGTAACCAGTTAATCATGGTTTTAAAACAATCAAACTATCTAAGTGTGTTATTTAAGCTTCAGAAGACAGTTCAATGTATAGTAAATAATAATTTGTCGATTACAAGAACATACGTAAATTTGCGTACATATAAAATTTAAGATTTTAGTAAAAGAAAGAGCACACATGTTCCACAAAATCAATTCCTTTGGCGATCCTTACTTTACTTTTTAAATTACTTCCGTTCGAAATAATTGTCTAAAGCTAAATAATTTGGTGAAGAAATATTATACAAATTTTGAAAACTTATTGATTTTAACGCAAAATAACTACGAATAATATACGAACTTACGTCCAGTTAAAACTGCAGCATAATATGAATTCACATAACTCATACACAGTGAGACACAATATCATTATGTCTTTTTAGCGAATATCCCATATAGGGAATAAGCTATTACCGTAGTACTCATGGTAAGACCTGTACCCGGGACAGATTTATTTTTTCGTTTTGAAGTCCCTAGAGGCCAAAAACACAATTCGTTCAAATTCATATATACATTTAAATATATATGTGTGCGTTAGCGCAATAACTCGAAAATGATCCGATGTTTTGATGAAATTTGGTTTAAACGTGTAAACCTATAATAGGCCTACTTATTCGAGCGAGTTCGCGAACCAGCATGATCGGTCTATGGGAACGGGGGTTTATAGGGGGTTTTATGGGGTAAAAATAGGTTTTCTCATATTTGACCCTAAACAAAATTTCTCAATATTTCCCCAAACCATTTTGTAGAGGTCAAAAAACCATATAATTTAGTATACTGCGTTATATAACCATTAAGCGTTATTATGCGCCTAATGGTTACGGAGAAAATTCCAAAAGTTGTAAATTAAAAATTTCCATGTTTCTTAAGGAGAACAAGTCAACTGTTGTAGTTTGCTTGTTTATGAACATATTTTGATCAAATTTTGAAAATACATTCATTTGTTACTAAACTACAGTATTAACATTTTACAACAAAAAACACTTTTTTACCCTCCTTGTTGCAGCAGACCTAGTTAAACTAATTCTATTTAAATAGTGAATAAATGTGATATTTTTAAGTAGACATTTTAGTGTAAATCCAATCAGGCAAATGGAAATTCGCTAAGTATGCAGGTTTGCTGCATCGTGGGTATTATCTTAATCTTTTAGGCAACAACAAAAATAAATAGGCTAAAGTAGCTAATTTATTTTCTAATAATGGAGATGTTTTATTTTAGCCCAGTTCAAAGAAGCTCCAAGTGATATTTTCATGTGAAACGAAATGACAGAAAAGTGTATGTCAGCTTGAATAAACGATTGACTAAACGCCTTCAGTTTCCAGAATGCAATATGAGTTCACTCAAACATCTCTCGTATCGCTTCATTATTTACGGCGTTCTCCCTAAACTCTGGGTAGATTTTCTACCTACATGACTTATTTTTAAAAACACTTCTAGTTATGACATACTTTTAACATTTAAAAAGTCATTTTAAATTAGTTAATATCTAAAGTGAAGGAATCACATACTGTAATAGGGGTTTTAGTTTCTCCTCCTTATGGAGAAAGTATTTTTTCATAAAAATTTTCGAGTTTTGGGCAGATACATCCGTTTTTGGTCTCTCTGAAACCTAAAGCAGTGGTTTTCGAAGTGTCTGTATGTGTGGATGTGTACAGAGCTACAGACCACACCTTTTGCCTGACTTTGATTAATTTGGTGTGTCCCAGCCTTTTTTCCTATTTTTTGAAATTTAGATTTTAGTGGGGATTTTTCCATAAAAACCCACAAAAAACGAAATAATATATTTTTTTTAAATGGCCCGAACGATTTTTAATGTTGTATTTTATAGACCTTTTGACTCTAAACTAGGGGGTTTAACCTCTCACTTGGAAATTACCGTTCAAAAGTCATTGCAGCTGTTGATTTCCCCCATAAAACCCCTTACCATTAATTAAATAATAAAAACTGTTTTAAAAACGAATAACGATTAAAATTCTGTATGTTGTACATTCACTACATAACTGTGAAAAGAAAGTGAAAATTGTAAAAGTTTCAGGAAAACTCGCGTAACGTCGAGAGAACACGTTAATTCTATCGGAGGGAAATTAATGGATTTTATAAGCATGAAATAATGAAAACCTCCCTTGCACAACCATCACTCACTAAGCTTTCACTGTTAAGCTCTACTCTGCTTTATCTTGTAAATTTAAAGTGGTATTATCTTGGGCTAGGTTTTAATGCAATAATGTAAAATACCCCCACCGCAGCAAACCTGCAGAAGCGAATTTTTATTACCTGGATGGATTTCCACTATAATATGCCCTTATAATTTTCAGATTTTATTTTCTACTAGCTGACCCGACAGACGTCGTCCTGTCCTAATGTGGTTTTATATCAAATGCTTGTTCATTTTCGAGATGAGCTCGTTCGCAAGGCTCAATCACGTCCTGGTTGAAGTTCGTTCGCTACGCTCACTCACCTCTAGGTTGGAGATCGTTCGCTGCGCTCACTTGCCTTCAGGTTAGCTCGTTCGCTACGCTAAATCGCCTCCAGGTTGAAGTTCGTTCGCTACGCTCACTCACCTTTTGGTTGCAGATTAGCTGTTGTCATAAATTAAAAAAAAAATTGTGCTGCACCCTATTGGTAAATCTATTAACTTTTTAATGCTATTGAACATCACAGAATCAAAATGTTTAGTTGAACCAGCTGTTAAGATTATTTAATTCCATTTAAATATGAGTACCCTACTCATAAGGTTAACATGGGAAACTCTAGTGCCACTGTGGCGGAGCCCTTTTGACGGATCTGCACCAAACTTCACACAAACCATCCTTGAATAATGCTTAATAATAACACAAAGTCCTTGGTCTTCTGGGTACGACCGCGTCGGAAAACTAGGAGAAACACTAGTTTCCGACGCGGTCGTACCCAGAAGAACAAGGACTTTGTGTTAGTAATTGTGACCGTGGAAGCCTCACTTCCAATGCTTAATAATGCCTGAAAGTTTCATTACAATCTGTCGAGTGGTTTCGGAGTCCATAAAGGACAAACAAACATACATACAAACAAACATACAAACAAACAAACATACATTGGATTTTATATATATACTAGCTGACCCGGCGAACTTCGTATCGCCTAAGTTATAGGTTTCCCCTAAGACAGACCGATGGAAAGAAAGTACCGTTACGTTTAATTTTCAAGATGATCTCGTTCGCATCGCTCAATCACGTCCTGGTTGAAGTTCGTTCGCTACGCTCACTCACCTTTGGGTTGGAGCTCGTTCGCTACGCTCACTCGCCTCTCTCGTTCGCATCGCTCAATCACGTCCTGGTTGAAGTTCGTTCGCTACGCTCACTCACCTTTGGGTTGGAGCTCGTTCGCTACGCTCACTCACCTTTTGGTTGCAAATTAGCTGTTGTCATAAATGTAAAAGAAATAATAGTGCTGCACCCTGTTGGTAATCCTTGTAACTTTAATGCTATTGAACATCATAGAACAGAACCAACTTGTTTAATTGAAACAGCTGTTAAGATTCATTAATTCCATTTCTCATAAGGTTAACATGGGAAACTCCAGAGCCACTGGGGCGGAGCCCTTTTAAGAATTTCGAAACGGGAAATAGTTTACGTCCGATTCGCATACCTACAGAATTTACACACCAAATTTCATAACGATCGGTGAAGTCGTTCCGGAGGAGTTTGCAGACAAACACTGTGACACGAGAATTTTATATATTAGAGATATAGATTTGAATTGTATTAATTTGAATGAGTACCTATTTGCTGCTACGGAGATGTTTGTGTATTTTATTGACATTTTGATAGTTTAGTATAAAATAAGCAAAATTGCCAAACTTGATTAAAATATATCCATAAAACAAGCAAACTACAACAGTTTATTTTTCATTCACCATAAGGATGACATGGCAATTTTAAATTTACAACTTTTTGATTTATCTCCGTAACCGATAGGCACACAACAACGCTTAAATATACAAAAGCATTTTTTTTAAGCTTTACAAAATGGATTGAAAAGAAATTGTGAAATTTTGTGTTTTTAGGGCCAAAAATGGGAAAACCAATTTTTACCCCAAAAACCCCATAAACCTCCGTTACCATAACCCGATCATGAACTAATTAATTTGGTTAGCTTTGCCTTTGGGATTCGTAAAGCTGTTATTGACGTTATTTACTAGAAAAAAACACGGTGAGTTAAGACTCAGTTTTACCTAAATATTACTTACAATTAATCCAAATTTTACAAATATCGCTTTAATGCACAATTATTGATGACCCATTCATAAACTAAGTTTTTCAATTTAATTGAAATTTTTTGGGATAATTTTGACATTGTATTGCTATCGTACTGCTACAGGCTGAAGAAGGCTGCAGCCTCCCCTATAGCAGCAAACCTAAGTACTCGTAAAATATAATGTTATTTAAATAGGAAATAAATCTGACAAATCTAAAGAATATTTTTATTTCAGTCAAAAACCAATCAAATGTAAATTGGCTCAGTCTGCAAACTTGCTGTGGTTAGGGTATTTTAAATGTTTTGATCAGAAGATTGTTAAGTAAATACATGAGACATTTCCTAAATGTTTCCATTGTATTACATAAAGAATAATAATTTGTTTATGTTTTATTAGTTCTACCAACTTATGTTGTTACAGTATCAAATCTTCACGTCATCAAGTTTACGTAGTATTTCGTCTCAATCTGTCATCTCAACGTTTTTATCCTCTAGGGTCTAGACAAATTGTCAAACTTCGCTTTAAAAACTTTCTGACGTATGTGAAGCACAAAAGTTACGGGTTGAGAGTTAAAAGATTTATTTTTGTCAGCTGTGTTAGCGTCGAAGTTTTAAAATTTTACCCGATGTAGTTTTCTTGTTAACTGTAAAAGATATAGTCGTGATTCTTTCAATATTTCGCATCGATTCCGCTAATTCCTTGTGTATTATGTAAACTCTAAACGTTTCATGGAAGAGAGTTTCCATTATTTAACAAACACGATTCTGACCTTATCAAATTTAGGTTGATGTGTCGAGCAAAGAAAAATAGTATTTTGCATGAGTTGTCGTGAACAACAGCGGGAATTTATTTTTAATGCATAGGGGCCTACGTGTTAATGAAACTCCTTGTAATACACAATTACGGCGCAGTAATTTTTTTAAAGTTTCAGTTTTTTACCAGTTTTTAAATAAAAAGGATTTTAGATCAATCACTGACAGACTATTCTGCTTAAAATGCAGTAGGGTCTTTTATTTTTCATAAACGGACTTTTCAATGATGTAATATTGGTTAACTTCAAATTTTACCCCATGTATCTTTCAATCCATCAACGAGCTTAGTAACAACAAATGATTCACTTACCTACAGTAACTAATTCTACAGGGTGAATTTTAAATGAGTTCCCCCCCTACTTTTTTCTACATTTCTTAAGATATCATCTCCGGACCACGTCAGATCATTGTTGAGTAGTAAGTACTTCATTTTGACTGGGTTTACATTTTTGGCCGCCATCTTGGATCCGCCATATTGGATACAAAGTTTTTTTTCAAATGTAAAGGTAGGGTTGTGACCCATTATTTCAAACAAGAATTTTACGCTGATTACAATGCCGCAATTCGTTTTTAAAAATCTTGATCCGTTCTAAAGTTATGAGGAGTTTTTATAACTTAATTTTTAGCCCATTTTAACATTGTGCATTAACAAAATAAGCCCATAATCTCAAAATAGTGTTAGATAAAGATAAGTATACACCACCATTAATTGTCGACATATTTTCACTTGGTTATGACGGATGTAAATTTTCCAGCCGCCATCTTGGATCCGCCATTTTGAAATGTGATCAATTAATTTAAATATGAAGGTGGTGTTGTGACCCATCATTTTGAACTACTTTTTTATACTGGACTCAATGCCGCAATCCGTTTTTGGTTATCAAGCTTTCTTGATGAAATATTAAAATACTCTTATTTAAAATTTCAATATTTCAAAATCCAAAGATGAAAATGAAAAACGGATTGCGGCATTGAGTTCAGCATAAAAAAGTAGCTCAAAATGATGGGTCACAACACCACCTTCATATTTAAATTAATTGATCACATTTCAAAATGGCGGATCCAAGATGGCGGCTGAAAAAACAACATCCGTCACAACCAAGTGAAAGTATGTCAACAATGAATGGTTTTGTATACTTATCTTTATCTAGCACTATTTTGAGATTATGGTCTTAGTTTGTAAATGCACAATGTTAAAATGCGCTAAAAATAAAGTTATAAAAAGTCCTCATAACTTTAGAACGGATCAAGATTTTTAAAAACTAATTGCGGCATTGTAATCAGCGTAAAATTCTTGTTTGAAATAATGGGTCACAACCCTACCTTACATTTGAAAAAAAAACTTTGTATCCAATATGGCGGATCCAAGATGGCGGCCAAAAATGTACACCCAGTCAAAATGAAATACTTACTACTCAACAATGATCTGACGTGGTCCGGAGATGATATCTTAAGAAATGTAGAAAAAAGTAGGGGGGGAACTCATTTAAAATTCACTCTGTATAACAGGGTCATTCAACTCTATTCTTAAAGAAAAAACAGAGTGGTTACATCTGGTCCATTTAAAATGGAAGTCTACTTCACTATTCAAAGATATCTGGGGCGCGAGTTGGTCCATTGGTAGAGCGCGGGACTTCGGTCCTCAAGGTACCGGGTTCAAATCCCGCCAGATCACAGGAGCATTTTAAAAACAACAAATTTGATCGAAAAGAAAACTATAGCAATAGCAAGGTATTCCATGGATATCTCAACACCTTCAAACGTTGACAGACATAAAATCGCATTAAGCTGATTCGTAGGGATAGTAAATACTAAAGAGTGTACAATCTGGGGAGTCGTGTTGCTTCGGAAAGTATTAACTCCGAAAAAAACTTTCCTATCAAGGCACTCCTCCGAATATGTATAACTAGTCACTAATCCGAAAAAATGCAGGACTAAGACGCTGTTTATAAAGATTGTGCAGTCATAACTCAATAACTTACTAAAAAATAAATTGCTTTTGACGATATGCATGGATTTGACAAATTATAATACTCGTATATCTATTTTATATAGGTTACTTGGTATGGCACAATTCAAAATGATTGAGCTGTATTTGTTGTAAAGGCTGTATCATCTCCTGTTTTGAGGTAGAGCGCGGATTTTTGGTCCCTGGTTTCCCGGGTTCAAATCCCCGTCAATCCTCATTTTTCCACCGGACGCTAGGCTCAGCCCAAGATAGTTGGTGATTTGGCGAGATTTGAACCCGGTACCTCATGGACCGTCTAGCGCTCTAATATAGACAATCATCTATAAACAGACCGCAATCCTCTAGATCTAGCTGAAGCATATGTTTTGAAATTATTCTGGGGCTAGAACCTAGCATCCTGGGATGTAAAGGTAAAAAACTCTGTTTTGACGACCTCCTCCATATTCCAGTGCCTCCTGCCGTGACACCTACGGACTCCCGGACACCAAGGACCCTCGGACACCTTTGCCACGCGAGGGGGAGGAGACCCGCGCCCTCTGTACGTCAGAGTACTCGGACATCTCCCCTCTGACCGGTGGACAAGTCCCCTTCTCGACCTTGGAGGGCAGACCTTCCAACTACAAGTTTGACTCTTCTGCAGAACTGCAAGTGAGTTTGATTGGTTGCATGAAATGTTTGTCACAGAAAGTGTTTAGTGGCTGACGTCATCAATTCTATAAACAGTGAGACTCATTTGAATATAGTTTGTATCATGGGACATGTATCCTTGGTTTTCATCTACCTGGGACTAGCGGCCAGTCCCCAGGTAGACGGAGTGTCAGGGGACAGGTCCCATCATACAGGCTATAACAACATAAGCTTTATAGCCAGCTGATGTTTCCAAATAAACAGCAGACAGTAATACACCAAACCGAGCAATACCTGTTATCCACTAAACACTTTTCATTGCAGAATTTTGTAATTTTTCTCCCGGTATTTCACTTACGTGAAATCACTCTGCATTTTACAATCGACTAGTATGTTTAAATCGGTCGTAGATATAATCCACAACAATTCATTACGTAGTTTGATAAAGATACATAATTTATACGCTCATCACATTGGAAAACTCTTTTTTATGAACCACCCACGTACCTAAAAACTCAAGAGCATAGCATTTCTTTCATATAGGTAGGGAAACTTATCATATTAACTATTGTAGTTAATTGTTGTCAGGGGAAAATTAGCCTCTTGCTTTTGAAGCAATTAATTTGTAAATCTATTTGTTAAATTGTAAAGAAACTGAAGATGTATGTTGAACGAATCTGCAAAACACTTACAGTAACGACACAGTGTTTCATTCTAGAAATATTTTTTATGAACAAATTACTCATGCTGGACTCATTTCACCCTATCAAAAATGGTGTTCAATGATTAAAATACATAATTAAGCTACTGCAAAATATTTTATAACGAGCGGGCCCGACAGACGTTGTCCTGTCCTAATGTGGTTTTATGTCAAATGCTCGTTCATTTTCAAGATGAGCTCGTTCGCATGGCTCAATCACGTCCTGGTTGAAGTTCGTTCGCTACGCTCATTCACCTTTAGGTTGGAGCTCGTTCGCTGCGCTCACTTGCCTGCAGGTTAGCTCGTTCGCTATTCTAATTCGCCTCCAGGTTTAAGTTCGTTTGCTACGCTCACTCACCTTTTGGTTGCAAATTAGCTGTTGTCATAAATTTAAAAAATAATACAGTAGTGCTGCACCCTGTTGGTAAACGTATTAACTTTTTATGCTATTGAACATCACAGAATCAAAAAGTTTGGTTGAACCAGCTGTTAAGATTCTTTAATTCCATTTAAATATGTGTACTCATAAGGTTAACATGGGAAACTCCAGAGCCACTGGGGCGGAGCCCTTTTGACGGATCTGCACCAAACTTTACACAAACCATCCTTGAATAATGCTTAATAATGCCTGAAAGTTTCATTACATTCTGTCGAGCGGTTTCGGAATCCATAAAGGACAAACAAACAAACATACATTGGATTTTATATATATAGATTTACAGGTTTTAAAATAAGTTTGAACATGTTAATCGCAAACACGTTACTTTTACCCGGTTTATTTTACAGGTAATAAATAAAACATAAAATTGTGGTAATGGAAATTATAAATATTTATGTGCTTAAAATCCCAAAAGGATTATAACCTTCTTACCAACATCGGAAACGCCGTTATCCACGTACATTTCATATTTGATTTTTACAGAGGATCAGAATGTATGCGGTATTAAATATTTCAGGTAACAGCTTTACAAACGGATGGTTTTGTGTTTTATTGACAACTCTCTCCCTTTGATAATCGCTTTTTGTTTGTGAAAAAAGATTTACCGTGAAATGCAAAACGTCGAAAATGTCAAAAGCCAAACTTGTTTTAAACTCAAAACGGTTTACAGATGAATTATTTTTACGTTCATGTTTTTTTAGAACTGAAATATTATGTACTGTATTTTTGTTTGTTATCTTCGCCACTGGAATTCCTTTGAACGGTACATTTACACTTACATGGCAATAGTTTTTACGCCACACTACATTATTTTGATGAACTTTCCACGCAAGGATTTAGTCCAGAAAACAGCTGTTTGCCGCCAGCTTATTCAAATGGGGTTTCATTGCGTAATACTGTTCTGCAATGAGTTTTACCGGACACCAATCAGCTGATTATACTGTATTTTCGTGGCAATTAGTGGTTATAAACAAAAACATAACCTCTCATGACTAGTGATTTTTAGTCCTTTAGTTGGTGGAAATATATAAGGATTTGTACGGATTAAGTAGTATGGCGTAAACTATCGTACGTAACTCGTCCAAAATGTGTGTACCGGACTCGTATGGTAATCCCGTACTCGACTTCGTCTCGCACGGGAACGACCACACTCGTCCGGTAAACACTTATTTTCAGGACTAGTAACGTAATATACTATTTCCTACAGTCACCCGACAAAGTTGGCTTCATTGTACTGTTTATAGTACAGAAAGCTGCTAATTGCTGCATATTTTATACTTTGCCGTGCGGTTTATACTTTGCCGCACATCAGGATTCCAACGAAACAGCCTGGTTCTATTATGCATGTAATCCGTGTACGCTTGGAAATAGGTTGGCAACACTTAAAGATAATAATACTATGAGCAGCTGATTGACTATTATAACTACGATTTAACCTGTCATTTCATGTTTATAGTTTCGGTATTTCTGAACTTTCTGGACTTTTATTTTAAACGTTTTTAAAACATTCCTACGATCTTGATAAACAAGAAAATACCTTTACCGCATTTTTTTAGGCGCGGAAACCACTTCAAATTACAAAAACATACGGAACTATATTCTCAAAACGCGGAGCACATTTCTTGCCGAGGAAAAATAGCGGAGTGATACGGACCGCGGGTACTACTTTCTCTAGTGCACCATTTGTGTTGCCAGCTGAACCTAAAAACGTGTTGTATAGTGTTTGAAAGGCTAATTATTTATGCTTTACAGTGACTCTAGGAAAAATATAATATGTAACACGAGTGAAAAAGGCCTTTGCTGCACTCGAGATCATTCCACACTCGCCTGCGGCTCGTGCGTAAACATTGCTCTCGTGTGCAGCAAAGTGCCACTTTCACCACTAGTTACACAAATAACTATTTCATGTAAATTTGCAAACGATTTTCATTGATTTTTATTTCAAAAGCATTAAGTGTAAATATGCATAGTTGCAGGAGTGAATCATCAGAATGTATATGTTGTTTGTTTGTATAGGATTGGGTGACTGCCACGGACATACGTATCACATTAGACCGTCTCAACACTTTTGGTGATGAGGTTTTCTGGGACCCTCAGGTACTCAAGTCCTACTACTACGCCATCGTCGACTTTGCCGTTGGAGCGAGGTACAGTTTGTCTAGATTATTTTATCTCTATTTAGTAACACAATTAAATTACTATGCTCTTTACCTGTTGTTATTAATTGCTTGAAACGTATAATTAAAATAAGTACTGCGAAATCTTTAGCGAATTTTTCACTAAGGGCCACTGTATTACCCTAGGTCTCATGGTAAGGCCTAGGCCCAGGACGGGTTCCTTCATCGTTTTTATGTCTCCAGAGGCAAAAAACCATCCGTTTAAATTATATAGTACATGTGTGTTAGTGAGCTCGATAACTAGATTTTTGTGGACTTTAGTAGAAACGTGTAAACCTACGTTTATTCAAACGAGTTCGTGAACCATCATGATCGGACTACGGGAATGGAGGTTTACGGGGTAAAAATTGGGGTTTCCTATTTTTAACCCTCAAAACATAAGATTTTGCAATTAATGATTGAAAAATGTTGAAAAATGAAGAAGGTTGAAAAATGATTGATTAATGATATCAATTTAATGTTGTAGAGCTAAAAAAACAAATAGTTAAATACACTGAAGTGTTGTTGTGTGCCTAATAGTTACGGGGAACATAAACAAAATAATTTAAAACAAGAGTACAGTACATAAGAATGTTAAGTACTCTTATAGAAATAGGTAATTGTTGTATTTTGCTTGTTTATGGATATGTTTGATTAAATTTGGCTAATTAATTTATTTTACTCTAAGCTTCCAATATACTACCTTTAATGTAGAGACAAACTTAAATACTTGTTAAATCCAAAGTTAACAAAAATAGGGATTAAAATTCACAAGTTAAAGAAAATATCTCGGTGAAAATCCAAATAGGAAATGGAAATTCGTATAGTCTGCAGGTTTGCTGCGGCTGGAGAATTTGTTACCCATGTGTTGGATTTGTAGTGATGTGTAGGCTCTAAGGGCTAAAAGTTGAATATTTTTGTGGCAATCAGTTTTTATGTACTTAAGAAACTTTATTGCCTCAAGCTAATTACTTTAATGACTTTTATTGCTCGTTAGTCTCGGCGAAGTAATTTGAGGGAGGAATGAAAGTTTTTCAAAAGAATATTTGTGGTTGTCCTCAAGAAGTTTTTTTTCAAAATAATTGCTTCCTTCAATTAAATATTTGATCACTAATAGTATAAAAAAAAAACAAAAAAAACTTTAACAACTGTGCTAATTAAACATGAACTTTCCTTGTGAAGTAAAACACAAATTACGGTTCTTCTCTAAATGAGACAATCTTAAAACAAATTTTTTTAACAAGTACAAGCAAAGATATTATTGTCAAGTGGAAGAATAATTCTGCGAAAGAATGACAAAAGTGGCATTAGTATTCAAGCCCAGGGCTTATTTCTGTCTTGAACTGAGCAAGAAAAATATCTGTTAACGTTTCTCCCTGTTTTACAGTTTATTATTTTGAAACTCCTTCGGTTAATATTTAATTTTATTGAATTTATAAAAAATAATACAAACAAATTAAACTACCAGAGTAAGTTAACTCGTTTCCACTAGAATTTCTTCCAATAAAAGGTTTGTTCATTTAACATTTAAATTATATTTTATTCCTCAAATGATTAACATTATTTTTGCTTACCTATTTGCAGTTTTTTATTTAGGTTCGGTTATGTTTGGTTGGATTCGATAAGGTTAAGATGTTAGGATTTGGTAAGGTTAAGAATTGTTAGGCTAGGGGATGTTATATTACGTCACGATATGATATGATACGTATAGGCTAGTTTTGTTTTCTCCTACTAACATCATTATACAACAAAGTCCAAGTGTTTAAGGTTGTATAAGTAAAAAAAAAAAAACACACTGTAATATTATTTTGAAAAACACTGGAACATGACCACTAATTCTAGTTTCGAACATGTCTAATCACAAAGCAAGCATATTACTGTATAGTGTGTTCCCAAAGTTCCCACAAAACAGAAAAAGGACAAATTACATTGCTATGTTGGTTTAAATTACCCTGTTTCCCAAGTGGTCCAAAATTCTAGCATCAATTGACAGATAAGGCAAGAAAAACTAGTTAAAATGTGACCAGAAATTTGAAACCTTAGCATAAATAAGTTAAAATCATAAGGCCTGAATATGTTTGAATCCTCGCAAATAAGCTCGACAGCTCAGCCCTTTTCAGGCACATCTTTGCCCTATAGTATGTATGATTGAACCTGTCTCCTGGCCCTTTGCCTACCTGGGGCACAGCTGGGCGTAAACCATCGAACATTCCCCAGTTAGACTAGCGTCAGGAGACAGGTTCCACAACACAGACTATACATCTCCTCTTTGTATCTGGTGCAAGTGCAACGGCCACGCCAGCGAGTGTGTCCCCACCGGATCTCTGGATGGAGACGACAGGCTGGTGTGTCGCTGTGAGCACAACACTGCAGGAGTGGACTGTCAGGAGACAGGTTCCATAACACAGACTATAGATCTCTTCTTTGTATCAGGTGCAAGTGCAACGGCCACGCCAGCGAGTGTGTCCCCACCAGATCGCTGGATGGAGACGACAGGCTGGTGTGTCGGTGTGAACACAACACTGCAGGAGTGGACTGTCAGGAGACAGGTTCCATAACACAGACTATAGATCTCTTCTTTGTATCAGGTGCAAGTGCAACGGCCACGCCAGCGAGTGTGTCCCCATCAGATCTCTGGATGGAGACGACAGGCTGGTGTGTCGGTGTGAGCACAACACTGCAGGAGTGGACTGTCAGGAGACAGGTTCCATTACACAGACTATACATCTCCTCTTTGTATCAGGTGCAAGTGCAACGGCCACGCCAGCGAGTGTGTCTCCACCAGATCTCTGGATGGAGACGACAGGCTGGTGTGTCGGTGTGAACACAACACTGCAGGAGTGGACTGTCAGGAGACAGGTTCCATTACACATACTATACATCTCCTCTTTGTATCAGGTGCAAGTGCAACGGCCACGCCAGCGAGTGTGTCCCCACCAGATCGCTGGATGGAGACGACAGGCTGGTGTGTCGGTGTGAGCACAACACTGCAGGAGTGGACTGTCAGGAATGCCTTCCCTTCTACAATGACGCACCTTGGGGCAGAGCGAACCGCACACATACACACGAGTGTAAAGGTAAGTGTGTTTGCAAAGAGCATTTAGTGGATAACACTTCTAAATTTTATAGGATGGAAAAATACATGGCTGTGAAATTTCAGCGGGTTATGAAGCCAATGGGTGTTTAATGGAACCTGTCTCCTGACGCTATTATATCCAAATGGGGACTGGTCAATGGTCCGGGAAAGTCCCAGATAGACTGAGGGCCAAGAGACAGGTTCCATTATACAGACTATAGACATTTAACTTTTCAGAATTGTATTGGAGCGTAACCCCTAGGTTTGGATTATCTTTTTTTCCTACTTTCACGTACTAGGACGCTAGGCCCCTAGATGGTTCTGGAATCATATAGGAAAATCCGTTTGTAATTTGCAGGATTTGAACCAAGGACCTCAAAACCCAAGTCCCGCACTCCAGATCGTACCCTCTAGGTGTGAGTGGGAGTTTTTAAATTATATTAGGTGGTGCAGTTTGTGTTTGCCGTTGTTGATGACGTTTTCGTTGTGGTTGTAGTGGTGGCTTTGTATTGCCTGAGCAATGTGGGAAACCACCTGAAGCAAAATACTTCTGTTCAGGGGAACTCTATTGCTAAGGTTATAAAGTGAATTGTTTGATAGATCAGTGAGCAGAGAGAGTGTAGTGAGAATCAAACTGCTCATGAAGTAGGGATTAAAGACCTTATAATTCCCGGAAACATGAAGGACAACGTTTTCTAATTAGATAAACTATTATAAACAAAATATTACAAACTCAGGGACCTAACCGAGTTAGCCCAGTAACCTATCCAATATTAGTCATCAGTTCAAAAGTAGCAGAAACGGCGCCCGTCTTTTGTAAACAGGTGTTGATGATCACGTTGTCTATTGCACATTCTGTATCAATTTCAATTAGGTGAACAGGGTAAACCTGAACATAATTATGAACAGATCAGCCCTTAAAATACCTTAATTACTTAAAACAAATATTTTTAATCCGGTTTTACAGGTAGTAACAGAAATTAATAATACACTCATCGGTTGTGTACTCATTTCCCCTAAATACTGTATCATCTTTTCGCTGCAACCCATTTTAGTTAACTCATAAATACTATTTAGGGATTTAATGTTAGTAATCAGAAAACGTGTTCTTATTTAATGTGTTAAATGCTAGGTGATTTATAAAAGACGGACTAGCCTTTTAGGAATACAACTATAGTCTTTTTACTTTCTCCATCTATCAATTCACTCATAGTCTATTGTAACAATTTATAACAGTTGAGAATAGGAGATACGATTCAAATGAAGAATAGTTATTTGTGTAACTAGTGGGCGAAGTGGCACTTTGCTGCACACAAGAGAAATGTTTACTCACGAGTCGTAGGCGAATGTGGAAAGATTCTAAAGTGCAGCAAAGGTACTTTGCACTCATGTTACACATTGTACAGTATTTTTCCTACAGGTACTACATATAAATCATATAAATAATTAGACTTTCAAGCACTGTACAAAACGGTTTTAGGTTAGGTTAAATCCAAGCGAACGAAATGGGAAACGCTGGACCAGCTGATCGTAGGCGTAGTATCTTTAATTGTTGCCAACATATTTCCAAGCGTACTCGGAATACTTGCCTAATAAAAGTACGATATTTTGTGTTGTTTGGTTGGAGTACTGGTGTGCAGAAAAAAGTGTGGCAAAAGTAAAAAAGAGTATGGCAAAGGTAAGTGCATGCAGCAAAAGTGTTCTGTACTTAATCAGTGCAAGGAAGCCCACTTTGTCAGGTGACTATAGGACAAAATATTTTGTATAGCTACTCTTTACCTACCTAACTTATGTTAAACTTATATGGCATATATCTCATCATGAACATTTTAACATGAGGTGTTATTCCTAGAACCGTTAATTCTTCACCTATTAAAAGCATCAAATATCCTCTCAAACCTAATATTGTCGTAAACGTTGCGAAATCGTTGCTAAAACACGTAGTTCAACATGAACAGGCGCAGCGACGGAAACAGAGCGTCCAAAGCCATGTTTTATGATGCTAATAGCTCGGCCTGACAGAACAATAACCGGCTCCGACCGCTATTTGACGGTTTTATCCGCTGAACAATGCCATATAAAACATATGTCTTTATATGCAACGCGCTCCTGCTTTATATGGGTCCGCTGCCATTGTTGGCCGATTTGGCTATCGCAGTTGCCTTAGAATTAGCTGGGGATTCAGGAATTATAGCAATACCTACCGGAATCGCCTTTGCAATGTGTTCATTGTGCACATTGTGTGTGATGCTTATATATGATGGTTAGTTTACATTCGAACATAGAGGTTTTAGTTGAAGAGTGGAATGAATGTGTGGTAAATAAATGTAAGAAAAGTATCAGGGGTGCGATTTTAAACTACCTCCATAATTTCAACATTGAAAGGTTCCGTTTCTTAAGGTGATACTGGATTGAGATAAATCAAGGTTACACGAAATCTGAAACTAAAACGAAAACGATCATAAATTGTTCAATCAACTACAGTATATGTGAGTACATTGACGCGGTTAGTTAGTTTATTGGTCTGTAATAGTTTTGTTTTTTGTTTTGTCTTGTGTGTAAACTTTTTTATCCTTATTTTAACTACACCACAAAATTCTTTGTAAGTGTGACGATTGCTATATTCATACTGTACCTGTGTTTCGTAGGAACACTAAATACAAGATTAAATTTTCAGAACCAAATTATTTCTGTTTTCATTACTAGACTGAATTTCGTGAACTATTGGGACAGTTATTATTGAAATTTATTATAACCTTTGAGAATTTAACTCAGTAATGATCAATGATACGTTTGAAACAGTTCCATAGGGAAATAAGGAATAATCTCATTCCCTATACACTCTGAACGTTGCCAAACTGACTCACTCTACTTGAGGAATCCACTGTGTGGCTATTTGATATTTTCTGTCCCACTCAAAAACACCCTTATAATTGGGGTGGCTTTTCAACCATGGATTATAATCATACAACATCGTGGAATTTTCACTACGCCAACTCATCGAAGTATATAACACAACTTCGATGCACCAACTGAAACATAGGCTATTTATGTTACAACAGACTGAGCAAGGACTCACGTTAAGAATTATCCGATTGAGTAAAACCATTGTAAAACATAGGCTATTTATGTTACAACAGACTGAGCAAGGACTCATGTTAAGAATTATCCGATTGAGTAAAACCATTGTAAAACAGTCCCTTTAGATAATGACTAAAGCATAGCTATAGTTTATCAACGCAATACTGGGGCTATATGAATGAATTTGAGAATACAGTATTGCAGAATGCAGAGGGCACAGAATATAAATAATCTTTGCTCTCTGCAGTATTGTTAAAGCCCCGTTGTACAACAGCCTCGTGCCTCGTGCTAGAGCAGACAGCGGTAGAACGGTAGAGGCAAGGCAGGTTGCTGCAATAGGTATTGTATTGTAACTCGGGGCTATCTGAACACAATAGTATAGAAACGTCAGTGGCGGCTGTCATATTTAGTAGCGCGATCGCAGATTAGGCCGGAAAGGCAACAGAGGCCGCGGCAAAGCTTATCGGACAATGTATCTTGGGGCGGCATACTGGCCGTATATGGTCACATTGTATAAACCATTCCTGGGAAAACAGTTGTTAACTGTCGTAACATATGTTTAAAACTAACTAGCTGAGGGAAACGATAGGAAAATGTACAGTCATACATTGTAGGAACAGTGTAAGACATCGTAGGCAAATTTACAACCCTATGTCGTTGGATGGGTAGACACACATCGTAGGGAAATGTACAACCTAGTTTAGGAACATAACCTCTAAAACCTCTAATATAAGAGCCGTGGCGTTGGTGTGTGGCAACGTCGCACCTGAGTACTGTAGCAAGGCCGACCTACTGCCATGGTAATAACTACAATAGTAACCGTTTGAACTTAATTGTACAGAAGCTTCATTATGAAACTATGTTTCTTCGGTGGGCCGGGGCTGCGACGTTGCCACTTTTGTCAGCCTTCTATTGTGTGGCAACGTCGCACCGGCCGATCTATTGCCATGGCAATATCTAATAATAATCATGTAAACATAAACATTGTGCAGAAGCTCTATTATGAATCAGTGCAACAGCTGTTTCGGTAAAACGGGTCTGCGGCGTTGCCACTCTTATCTTGCTATTAGAGGATTGCATAACCTTTACACCGTAGAGACAGGAATACACTAACCAATCAAATGGGTTTCAACTAGCAATGCTGATAGTTCTAGCTGTAAAGTAAACCTGCATCTGAAGTCGTGTTAATTTGTTGGAATACAATCTTTAAAAAGTAGATCTTTCCTTCATTAAGTAAAATCTAACAGCATATGCTATTGTAATGAACTACGCCCATACCATGGATACTGGCCAATCCACTAGAAAGAGAAACAGCCATCAAAAGCCAATCAATGACATCAGTATTTATTTCACAGTTTGGTACTCTGCAATTCAGCCACATGATGAATTGTAAATAACATTATAGGGTGGTAAAAAAGTCCCAGGACAGTTAAATATTTAAAAAAAATAATGCAGATAGAGCTACAATAATTGGTACAAAGTTACAGGACATAAAACTCTATTTTAACACATATTCAGTGATCCAATAATTCTTCAGGGGGACGGCCCACAAGGAGTCGGAAGAAAATCTTAAATGGAAGCATAGGTCAATATGCACATCAAGTTAAAGGTCTTTTTTAGTAGATTACAATGCCGTAAACCGCACTTCAAAAGGTTGATCCTGCGCAAAATGATAGTTGTTAAAAGATTCATTTAATTTACATTGCTATTACTCCTCAGGGGGCACACAGCCCTAAGAATCGGAAGAAAATTGTTAACGTAAGAATAGGTCGATATGCACATCAAATTAAAGGTCTTCACTAGTAGATTACGATGCCGTAAATTCAAGCTCAGAAGAATGCCTGAGTAAAAAATGACAGTCTTTCAAAGATTTAAAATGGCGGATTCAAGAAATCTTTGAACATCTGCCATTTTGCGCAG